TTTACAATCACGCACGCACGCAATGAGTGCTTCCACTTTCAACTACGTTAAACTACTATCATACAAAAGAAAAAAAAACACGCTAAGTGGAACCACTCGCGCAGCTATTTGCGGACCGGGGGTTTTCAACAATAGCTGGAAACCACCGATCCCTCAGGCTCACCACGTGGAGGTTGCTGCGCACCGAAGCCCTTTACAAACGTAATAAATTAAGTTAAATATATTAAGAAAGTGAACGGAAGGGAGGGGGGATGTCTCCCATAAGGCCCGGTTTCACAATCCAAGTTAAACGGAATTTGATTGTTACACTGTAGGTTAAAACTGAGGGTAAAACAGTTAAACTTCAGTTAACTCGAGGGTGGAACTGGACCTTAATAATGCTCCAACATACATACAGGTGTGTATATGCATGTGAGAGCAACGGTAGAAGCACGTAACCCGATGTTTACTCTTTGGAAGACCAAAGGGTAATGATGCTCCAATCGCGCGCTCGGCCTTATATAGGGTCTCCGACCCCGGCATGTGCATGCGCAGTTCCTTATCACACCTTTATATATTCCAATTTTTTAATTTCTTTATAAAAACGGAATTTCCTAGCTATGGAACCCTTTTTTAGGGTGTTTATACTCACGTTATAAAATTTCAAACGATTAGGTTCACCTAGTTTTGTGAAAAATTTCCTTATCAACTGACCCCTCGGTTGCTTCTTTCTCGTCATCTTAACGGAAACTCTGTAATTATAAGATGATGCAATGTGAGTACAAGGGTACCTTTTTCAGGTATCTGCGGTCAGGTGTCGACCGGGAGGAGCAACAGTACGGTAATTGAGGACTCCCGATTATCACAAAATCCTAATCACCATAAAATCCCCAAATTCTAATAATCAATTTTGAAATTTATTAATCAACTATGTATTAGACATTTCTGACGATCATACCAATTTTGACATTTATTAATCAACTATGTATTAGACATTTTTGACGATCACACCAATTTTGAAATTGATTAATTAACTATGCATTAGACATTTTTGACGATCATACCAATTTTGAAATTTATTAATCAACTATGTATTAGACATTTTTGACGATCATGTCAAAAATATCTAGTACATAGTTGATTAATAAATTTGAAAATTGGTTAACCGAGCAGCCATTCGCGAATCGATGCTTCTCTTGCAATTTCCGTGCAACTCGAACCATCGATTCCCCAGGCCCACCACGAGGAGGTTGCCGCTCAATGAGGCCCGACTAGGAGCACTAAAACGTCAACCTAGACACCCATCCTGTCACCTCTCCGTCACGAGACTTCGAGATGTCACGATGGGATTTTCTTCATTTTTTTCCCGCGGGAAGAAATGTCCTTAAAACTAACTTACACACTTGATTTTACAGTTAATTAACCTACGCGAGAGACCACCTTCACCAAGCTAACACAGAGGATGTAAAAAAAAAACTCTGCCAGAAGGGTCTATTTTCGATACAAAAGCAATTGTTAATGGTTCAGGCGACCGTACGACCCAGGACCGCCCGCAATGCACGCTTCACCTTGTCGGCCGCCAAGGGGAAGCGTGTGCCACGAAACGAATGTCAAAATCGCACAACCTCACAGGTCGCAGCACAGCTGCGACACACTGTGCAACGCCAACGGCTGCAGACTCTAAAAACGTGAATATAATCCACGTCTGCAAAATCTACCGAAACACATCAAAAGAAAATCTTAGTTGATTTCAGTGGTCTCTGTACACGAGAACGGCGCTTATATTAAACGCGGGATCTTCGTCGAAGTTGGTGATCCCTCCTGGTGGGTAGAGAGAGCGTCCCCAGTCTTCGGCGTCTTCTTCGCCACTGGTTCGAAGAGACTTTTGGAATCCTGGTCCCGAGGATGATACGAGAAGGGAGCCTAATCGGACGTTTTTAATTGGCTGCTTAACAGGTGGTGGGGATTAGAATTTACCGTACCGTCCCTTCTCCCGACCGATACCTGACACCTGTTACGCAGCCAATTAAAATCGTCCGATTAGGTACCCTTCCCGTATAATAGTAACCAATAAACGTAACCAATTTTCAAATTTATTAATCAACTATGTATTAGACATTTTTGACGATTATCCAGTTTTCCAATTCCTACCTACGCTTACCGACACTGCTCGCTTTTGAAGGTAAGAGAAGAACACTCGTGATGCCCTCTTTGACTTTACCCTTCACTTACCTTATTTATTTTATCCGCAAATGATACAGGCATCCTCCCATCCACCCTCCAAGAAGACATCCATATCCAATCCCAACGCCACCGATTCAACATTCTGTTTTAGTCATGGAGAAAGAACGCTGAACGGAAATGACTATCTCACTCAAATACAATCTGGTTTACGATTTCGTCCTAACACTAACTTAACCCTGACTTGATTGTTCATTGCAAGGAATCGAAGATTATTTTGGAAATGAAAAGTGATTTTTCCGTTCAGGGTAGAAGCACAACTCGAACGTATTCCACAGTACTTACCTCTACAAACCCCACGAATAGCAGGAAATACAGAAATCGTTTACATGTAATATTTTAATGAACAAGAAAAATTAACGTTACGCCGGAAGATAAGGAGTCCGGTGAAAGTGAAAACAACATATTGAGGGTCTACACGTAATGCAATTTATTAATATTCTCTTTTTACAAGGGCAGTTTACTTGTTGCCGAGCCTTCTAATTAACCGACGTAGTCGGACAGGCTCGATTCACTCTACGCCGTGACGTCAGCCATGAGAGCTGAATTAACGATGAGAAGAATGAAATCCGAATTGCGAAATGAAATAATCGACGGGTTCTATGTATCAGTCTCTCTTTACAAAAGCTGAGTAAAACAACGACGGTCAAGGTGGGGTGATACCGTAGCGAGCAACCTTCCGGAGAGTTCCTGAATTAACGTCGATCCAAGTACAGGACCTTACGAGCAGTTTCGTCCGTCCGACTCGGAGTCAGGTCGCTCGACGAATCGACCACACCTCGACTAATCTTATGCCATAAACGTAAATAAAATTATATAAACATAAGTGCCAACTAGCTGGTCGGTTGGAAGATCCAAGGTACCACCCAAGGATCTAACCACGAGCATCCGACCACGTTGCACTTTCAACTCGTCGCGTATATCGGACTAAAAATGGGCTGACGCGTCGCGAGAATTCCGAATTCCTCGCGAGAGGTACAACTTAACCGAGACGAATGTCTGCTCGTCGTCGAACGCTCCGTCGCCAGTATCCCTAGTTCTTTGAAATGTACTAAAGCGTTCCTATTTTCTTCTAAGTCCAGGGACCGTCTGGCCTTCAATGAAAACGCCCAACCTGCCGACGAGACCGGGCTCTCGGAGCGCCCGACAAGCGACCGCAACGACTTTGTACATTTCGTTCGATTACAATTCCAACGAATGAAACGGCTACTCTTGTACGGTGATTCCCCGTTCGTGGGATCACCCGCGCGAATGTTACAAGTACATTTTCTTTTTTTTTTCCCTACTGTTAATTGATCTTTAGTAGAAACGGCGAGCGCTCGATTCTCCACCCGTACTTTCGCGTCGCGCCGTCTCCGCAGACAGCCCTCCGAATTTTGGAAATAGATCGATGGGATGGATCGACTCAAAGAAATGTATCTACATCGCTTTAGCGACCGCGAACTGCCAACTTATGCGAGCGATTGACACAAGAGACGGTCGTAGAGCGGACGGCGCAACTCTTTCGGTGGACCCTCGAAGACTTCTCCGACCGTAAAGCTACCTTACTTCTCAATTAAGTCCAACGAAAGTAAAGATTCGCTGTGGTAATGTGTGCAGAAAAATATCGTAGATACAATCGAGTAATCAAGACGTATGGCAATAGTTGCATTCCTTCCTCCGGGTACCGGGGATTCATTTATTTACAGAGTAATAGTGTAACGCTTCTCTTCCCTTTTTGGTACCGGACGTCCTCGCGTTGCCTCGGCCGGCTCCCAGGAGCCGCGAAAGGAGGCGAGGACCTCGGACATCGACGTGTGTATTTACAAGAAAATATCCGCATTTCCCCCCTAGGCGGGTGTCTACGACTGACAAAAGCAGGGCGAGTCAAGTCGGATCGCCCGAAACTCCGAGAATCGAGCTCTCGTTGCGCCGCTTTTTTTACGACATTACCTCAACTCGTCATAATACGAACACTGGCAGATGGCAACTCGCGAACCGACTCACATTTTCTTTAGCCATTTACGAATTTTTTTACCTTACTCACTATGGACACTTGTCACCGGATCATCCGGCTGTGAATTAACGACAACGGGGCGGACAAAAATGCGATACTAGGAATTATATGACAGTAGACGGGATATCGAGGTTGCGACCAATTCTCCCTCTGGTTTGGGTTTACACGTGCAAATGCGATTCGCGACTGCATCGGAGGATACAACTGGAAAAGTGCAAATGGTTCAGGCCCGAACGCGCGATGCTTCATCGATAGAATGTTTCTCAGGCTAGAAAAAATCTTCAAACGTTATAGGGGAAAGAGTTGACCGTAGTACGTGAAAATTGACGTTTCATTTCCCGTTTCCATTGATTTCATCCACTTTGTTGTGAATTAGTGCTCGAATCTATAAATAAGTCAAATAAAATTAATCTTAACTCTCTAGTTTTATAAGCAATGACTGGCGTTTAAAACTTTCTCACGGGAAGAAACAAGTATTTATTCGTGAAAATTGTTATTAGTTGTTAATAGCGCTTTAACACATTTTTAAACAGGTAACATGTTTGTTCCATTTTTTAATGCCGAACTAGACAGGAAAGAAAACATGTTATTTCTTTGAAATTTATTATACCTAGTCAATATTACCGTCATAAAAGTATTAATCTAAATCACATATACATTGAAAAGAACACAGTGAAATTTCTCTCGAAAATATATACCGGATGCATATAGCCGAGCCTTAAACAAGAATGTTTGACAGATTTTATTACCAATAAATAATAGCAGGTTCAGCGCTTGAAGACTTTTCATAACTTGAGACAGCCATCTTAATTTCAAAACATGCGTTTCCTAACATTCGCAACGATCTCTCATTTAGACCCACGAGTAGCCTTACAAACATACATGTATGCATACCTATGTATAACCGACGAATCTATATTTATATTTATAGATATCTTACGAAAAGGAATATGTACATATGATACTGGCAGTAATTTTTTTCATTTTCACCTAATTCCTCGTTCGTTCCGACAAAAATGGCTAACTGTGCGCTTAGCACACTACGACCTTTTGCAATTTATTTAACTCGCCACGCGATTATCTAATTTTCTCTGGTCACTTTAGAAGTGGACTACGGAAGGAACGCGACGTAGCAGAGTACATTCTCAGATGGAACAGAGCGCTTCGACATTCAATTATACCGATCATCGGTTACCGTTCCACTGCAATTAACAAGTATACAGAAGAAGTCAATGATTTGGCGGTAATGCAAGAAAGTAACGCGATTACATTTAAACTCGAGGCCCAGCGGCAACGTTATCTTCACTAAGCAACGTCCATTAATGATATGTTTCTATTTTATGTATAATTTCGCAAACGTGTAAACTAATGACAACGAAGCCTCTACAGTTCCTTCGAGGTAGCTCTGAATTACGTTGATGTTCCAAGGAGCAGTATTAAAGAGACTACATCGACAAACCTCTAAAATTCATTAATCTTTATGAGCACATACTTTGTAAGAAATTTGACGTAAGATTCTATTGTACCTCCTTAAAACATCTTCAATAAGTTTGGTGCGCACTTCCAACGGTAGATCACAAGTCACGCTAGAATCGTAAGTCTAGGAACGTAAATCGGAGACTCCTTTGCGCTTATAGTGAACATTCATATAACGAAGCCTAAAATTCAATGTAAATATAAATAAGAAATTTGGCAGTGTCCAGTTCTTGTCTTCGTTCCTATTATTACCTATGTTTCGCAAAACATGAAACGATATTGCCTAAACGCTATAGTGCGATCTTTCTTAATTGAGATTTAATGCTAAGGAAAGTAATAGGTAATAAAGTGTGGAAACAGACCACTAATTACCTTGTTAAGGAATTATCTATTTTGAGTTTAATTAGACATATTTTTTGGCAAAATGGGTTTTGCTGATAATCGTCAAGGACTGAAGTACAGACTGACATATTAACGTTTCAGTATCAGTTTACACGGTATCTTTTGTGTACATACATATCAATTGGTCAAAGAAACGACGCAGTATACTATGCTTTTATTTTTAAACCCACGAACCAACAAAATTTCAGCTTCGACTCCCGCAAACTACATCCAATCAGATAAATAAAAAAAAGTATCAGCGGCAATATATATATGAATTCTTATCGGACACTGCACACAGAGGACTAAGAAGATAATTTGACAAATGAAATGGGACATGATCCATTTTTCCATTGAAGGCAGACCCAACGATCGGGTTCAAATATTTAACAGCTTGTCAGGCATGCGGTCACATGTTACTGCAAAAATGTTTGTTATCGACTGTTTACCGAGGGCAGGAGCCCTTAGAATCACGAATGTCAATAAACGCTGTCAATTCGGCTTAATTTAAATTACCAGACGGCAGACAAACTCATAAATATCAGTACAGCAAATAACTAACACCACGAAAAATATTGTTTGCCATTTTTAGCGAAAACAGGTATGTATACCCTGTAGCCCGTAATACTTTAATCAACCAAACAGTAAATACATTTTTCAAGGTTGTTTTAACGATTGTCATCTAACCGTATTGATTGCAGGTATGGATATTTTAAATTGATATTTTAGTGATTTTATTTCAATAAAAATGAACGTTGTAATCAGTGCACTATATTGAAAATAATGGTAGACCGCACTATAGTTACTGAAATGCAAAACACGTTGCATAATTTTCGATACAAATAAATAGATCTTAAGATATACCTATTTTAGGTACATTTATCTAAGCATAAAGCGACCAGCAAATTTGCGCCGCGCATTATTAAGGAAGTACAGTGGTGGACATGAATGCCTTCCCTGCACATACGGTATGCCAATGCATGATGGATAGGCATTCATGTCCATCAGTGTACACACACTTTTATAACATGTAACTAAATAAGTTCGACTGATTAAAAGGTTCCATAATTTAAATTTCGCGCACCAGAAGAAATTAGGCTATTAAACAAATCTTGCACGGAAAATTTTTGTTGTATATAAGTATTGCTTCATTTCTGGATGTGAAAACAAATGCAAACTTATGCTGAAATATGAAAATTGTCATGCTAGTCTCCCATTTCGTCGTGGTATCAACATTACGCCGCTCGTCGAGTACTATTTAAAATTAATTTTCCGCATAATTTCATAGGCTTCATTACACATCGAAACCATCATATTTTCCTAATAAGCTCCTATACTTTGAAGGTCAAGTTTCAAGAACATCTGCAGTTCTGCGGCTGTTATTAATAGCTTGCAAATTGAAAGATTAAGTGAAAAAATGGTACCATAGATTCACATTTCTTGAGAACAGGAATTACGTTAAAAACTTAACCGTTTATCCAAAATAGCTGTGTTGCATTTCTCGTAATTATGTATGGATTTCATCCTAATAAAGCAGACATATTAACCTATACTAACAGTTTGCACAGTTAAAATCTGATATTTAATTTAAACATTCTGTCCTTAAAAAAATGCCATTCACTGGAGAACAAATTGAAACAAATGTTAAATTGTCATAAAAAATCATGCATTATGTCGCAATTTACGGCTTAATCTCGTTGACGTAGAATATAGAAATGTATTACAAGGGTCTACTTCCAACAAGGATTTCAACATCTTAAGACATGCAATGAAATGGTTATTAAATTGTAGTCCGAAAAAAAAAACTAAAAGAAATTGTTTTCCATAAGTCATCCACTTGATAAGGAAGGTGTTTAATCCCTCGTTTCCAATCAATCTATTCGAATGTTTACACTATCACCTTCCTTTAATATATGGGCATTGAATTATATGTATCACTGAAAGTTATTCCAATTCTAATGCTGCAATAATAATGGGACAAACTAGAATCTTTAACACATTACAAGCTGAAAAATTTAACACGGAACGAACATAGGACATGCACACACTTTTCAAATGTTTGGTTATCACTCAATCCGGTTTTTTAAAAAGAAATTCCCATGTTCATAACTCATAAATTTCAGATGAACAACTGACAACTATGACATACTGAATAAATTAAGTTAATTAAATAATTTCGTTATAAATTTAATTAACCATTTTTGAAGAAAACCATTTAGGAAGCAATCTATGTTTTGAACCCCTGTAAATGTGTAATCTATTTCGATAACGAATTGCAAGTATGCATATCCGACCGACAGTAATAAAAAAAAAAAAATGAAAAGAAAAAACTTACAACTATGGAAATCACTAACAAAAACCAGCTCCTTATACACTATACTGAATGTAAGTATTCATGAATGATATGGATAATTTTAAGTAACCTACGAATACAACCATTAATACAACCTAAATCATTTAATTTGAATCATGCTTAACTTCCGGCAGTCATAATATAGAGAAATGCAAACTTTTTGAATATTCAATTTTTTCCACATTTTCAGTCATGTGCAAAAATACATCGAAAAAGTACTTTTTAATGAGAACAGTAAACTCATTGTGATAAGTTTATTATTTAAGATTCAACTGACGTAAAAATTATTGTAGCACTGTATGTATATTGTAAATATTTTAAACGTGATAAGTGTGCCAATTGAATTCTACAACTAACCCCTCCCAATCTCTTTTTTTTTCATTGACTTCATGCATGTTAATACTTTTAATCATTACCACTTTTCATTATAATCCTTCAATCAACGAGCTTTGATCAAAAGTTTTATGCAGGTAAATTGATTATGCTACTGGTGAGGGTTAATCCCAATTATAATGTGTTAAATATTAGACAAAAATTGATCATTTATCAATATATAAAAAAAATGTTTCAATTTAATGTCTATAAAGCTCATAATTTGTTATTTAATGTTACTTAATCCTTGAAAACAGTGCTGAACAAAATTGCATTCTTAGATGCAATATAAGTAAACACGAGATCAAATGTCAAACAATGGTTTCAAATCAATAAATTTTACAACTGCAGACAACTTTGATCATTTAAACACGCCATTATTAAAAGTATTTCTTTCCAATTTTAGATGGTATAAATATGTAGTTACTTTTTTAGTCTTGTATAGTAGTGAGCAATGCTACAGCTGCATCATTATCTTCTCAGGCTATAAAACACATTTTCACATTTCGGTTATATTTATTCGGTTATAAATTTTAATTTGGTTTCAGGGCACGAGCCACTATAGAAATATTGATAGAAAAGTAGAATTAAATTTGCCAAAGGTATCAGAAAAATTGATCTAAATCAAGAATAATCAAGAAATACGAAGTATTGGACTTAATCGTAATAATAAGTTTCATGAAATCTTAAACTAATTCTTTAGAAGCCTAAGAAGACAATGTTGCATAAGCCGGAGTCTAACTCTACAATCGTATTGAAAAATAACCTCTGGAGGTCTAGTCTGCTTTTGTTTTTACATCTAACTATTTACGTTCGCTGGTATGTTAGCTTAAGCGGGAGGAACAGTCATCTGCAGCGCTTAGCCGAGAATCACGAATACTATTCATTCCACCACTTCACCTTAACTTTCTTACAATACATTTGAAGCGGCCGACCAACCTCTAATCAAACACAGAACTTTCGTTTAATACGTTTTTTTTATCTAACGTGGCCCACATTCACTGACGTTCTTGAGACTATTGCGTTATTCTACTTTACACCTGGCAAAAGTCAATTTTGATTGATTTTATACATCATAAAGTACGTATACTGATTAAAATTAAATCACATTGAAACACGCGATAAAATGGAAATAAACGTACGATGACCTTTAAACAAATTGAACACCATGCTCGACATGGCATGTGCATGTTGAATTCTTAATTAAAGAACACCTTTTAAATACAAAGCCATTTAATTAAATGAACACGTTTCTTCAAGTATTAATTGATATTTTGAGATCGAGAATTTCACGACACATCGAACGAGTGGAGTCATTAAATCAGTGTTCATTCCTTAAAAATATACGTAAGTAAATTCATCGACCAGCGATGAATAGTTTCAATCTGATTCATTATCGATATCCTTTAGGACTTTTTTTGACCTAATAAAATATCAATATTCAAAAGACATTGCCAAATAACGTTTCAATTTACAAAAACATTCAGACATCACACACCGATCGATAAAGTCATGTTAATCGTACGTAGGTATGCAAATCTAATAAACGGCAGTGTATGTGGCTCGGGATCATTTTATCACCCATTATCGGACACAAAGAAGAGATTGGCAGCTGGTCCTTCTTTCTCGAACTCGATGCTGAATAGCAATACCCTATTAAATTACAAAGATATCGTGGAACGATTTTTTACCGTTAGGTGTTAGGTCCCTCCCACTCGATGAGGTACTGCGTTTGGCCATTTGGACCTAATCGCTTTGCTCTAACAACGAACTTCTCACCCGCGGCTATTCGGTTCGCAGCCCCAAAGTAGATATTCACTGACGATTTGAGATCATCCATCGATATGTCCGGAGCATTTTGCTTCATCGGAGAACATTTTGGTGACGAGGGTACACTGCCTTTCTTCTGCTGAGGGTCCGGGGGCGTTGGTTTGTCACTACTTTGACGTTGACGCAGTCTCCTTCCATTCAAAGCGTAATTGACGCAGTTACCTATTTGACTGCTAGCACTGTTGGATGTACCGTTGAACGAACTTCTCAGATTTCTCACAAACTCACTCTTCACTTCGTTGTTGCGCGCGGGCAGAATAGCCGCGGTTTTACTCGCGGTAGGTTGAAATTGTTGTTGCTGCTGCTGTTGCTGCGATGGACGACCTCTACGATGCTGTCTTCGGCGTTTCACCTGTCCGTTTCTATCTACGATAATGTCCTTCTCTGAGAGCTGACGTTTCGCCGGCCTCACTAATGGTGGCTGTGATATAACCGGTGTCAGCGGTAGTGGCAGTGTTATTGGACACTGATTGTAAGGCAGAGGGGTACTGGAACTTCCTTGCCCAGGTCCTGAAGGAGTACCTAATAAGTCACTGAGATTTCTGAAGGGATTATTCTTTCCTTCAAAGTCTTTTGGAGGTGGTATGAAGGAATCAAGCGTTCCTCGTGAACTAGTCTCGTCGCCACTCGTGTCCGCAGGTGTCGAGGGAGGCAGCGGATGCATTAAATCAACAGAACTAGGTACCGAAAGTTCTGACATTACCGAGGTCGTAGCAGGTGGGGTCGGAGGACCAGAGACGGAAGTCGGAGGTGTCGGAGGTAAATCCGATGCCTCCGAAGTTCGAGATTTACTCTACAAGAACAAAAAAAATTATTGAACAAAATTATTAATAAACAAAACATTCATATACAATGAACTAAACCATACCTTTGCAATTGCATTTTTCAGGAGTTTTCTAGCTTTCCTGTACCTTGCTTCTCTAACTCCTTGCAACTTGGATGCAGAGTTATCAGCACAGCCCTTTTCTCTTTTTTTATGTTTTCGCAACATTCTCTCTCGAGAACTACCTAATACCATGAGTCTTCTTCTTCTTTGTAAACTAAGTTTGGGAAATGGAAAAGATTTCTTCACAAAACCTCCTCCACTGTACCTAATATTAAAAGACACTTTTCAGTTCCTTTCTTCACATGCATTAACATTAACTTTGCAGATAATACCTACCTGTCTCGTAATGACTGAGTAGCTTGATTGGGAGGGCTTGGACAGGAACTGTGCTCTGCTTCCGAGTTCTGATAAATCGTTCCTCTCATTACAAGGTCTGACGGATTTACAGGAATTTCCAAATTTTCTGCTGGTCTTTGTTTCAATGCATTCAATTGTTTTGTACTTTCTAATATACATGCTACAGGCCTAAAATCATAATAAACGAAAATACTGAAATATTACAAACTTACTTAATAACAAATATTAAACAAGAAGGGAATACAATTTTTAATAACAAAGAAATTGACTAACCCGCTGGGTGGAGGAAGATATTGCAGTCTTTTATTAGCACCCCAACACTGCTGTAGAACAGAATCATCTACAGGACCAGTTGCAGGAAGATTGACGATGGGACATGGCGGTGGCAATCTAACTCGAAGACCCCATATTGTTGTTCGCTTTTTTATTTCTCTACCACACTTAAATCTATTCCTGTTGTTCGTTAGTATTGCAAGTATGGATTCCCTGCGTATCTGCGCGCTGACATCACGGATCTGTAAAAAAATACTTTATCTCTTAAAAATATTTTGTTTTCGAGATCTATAGCAGTAAATATAGCCGTGTATTAAATGTACAGAACATGAATCGAATTACACGAAATGTACTTACTCTAGGAGGTAACTGCAAATTATTCCAATTGTCATTTGCATATGGTACGATAACGGTGTCCAAATCATAATACTTTTTAGCATTATAAACGGTAAGATTGTACAACATCAGGTGCACCAAATCTACCCATTTCAATTCCAGGCGTCGCACAAATTCTTTACCGTAATTGCACGTTGAACAAACGAACACATAAAACCTACAGACATAACATTCATATTAACATGAATTACCCTCTGAAAAAGTGACTGATCTGTACAAACAGCACTTACCTGTCACCACTGTACAGTGGATACGTCAAGCAACTTACGCACTTTTCATGGAACCACTGTTTACAACGGGCACACTGTAACATTTGTGTATACCATTCTCCATTAAGCCCACAATAACAGTAGATTTGTTCCGCATTAACTCGGTGGTGTGCATCCCAACTCAACATAACAGGCTATAAATAATAATATTCACTTTTTAACTTATGGGGATAAAAGTATGATTAAATGGAATATATGAAACGTGTACACACGATATATCAATGTATGATACAGATTAGATTTTTGGATATAAGAAAAGGTTCCGGTTTGTTTGATATAATAAAAATTTTCCATTCAATTTTGAAGGACAAAAAATCATGAAACACTTACATCATATGGTAATTTTGTCATGTCGTCTGGAGGTGGCTGAGGCTGATCTCTGCCGCTGCAAACCCTCCTGATATTTGCCTTAACCATTGATTTTTTAGGTTCTCCTGGATCCCGATTTCTCAGCTGAGTGTCTACACATCTTTTACACATCCAATATGTTTCATTTCCATCCTTTGCTATTTGAGGCTAAAACAAGAGTTAATACTTTTATTTAAAATGTTTGGATTAAGTACAAAAATTAGGTAAAATTGAAAATTGGGATATTGTAGATACCTGGTGACACAACTGATGATAGCCACGACTGCACTTGTCACACACGATAATGTCATTGTCAGTCTTGGGCTGTGATTTCTTACACAACACGCACATGACATTGGACTCTGGCATTGCCAGCTTTGTCAGCTCTTTTATCGATGACCAGGAAGATGTGTTGTCCAAGAATTTGACGAGACATTTTTCTCTTGCTAAATCCACCTGAACATGTATGAATTTTATGAATTCTATGAATTTATAATGAGAACAGAAGACGTAATTGGCTATTCCAATTCAGTAATTGTACAAATGGTTTGTTAAAGTCTTTGAGATAATGAATAATAAAAATGTATAGAACGCTAATGAATTAAATTTGACAGCATCATAGTAAATGTTTTAACGAGAAAAAGTACAAAGAAATGAAACTTCAAACACAAAAATGAACTTAAATTACCTCAAAGATTTTACAATATCGTTACAAACAAACTGAATTCTTATTACATGAGCCATGCTGTATCCTTTACCTCCACTATGGTTCCAAGATAATATTTCCCATCCTTATGTTGAAGTAGAACATCTTCACCATGAGAGAAGCCAAGACGTTGTTCCTTCGTTGTGCTGTCCGGCACAGCCGGACTCCCCTCAGGCTCCGACATTTTGAAGTTGTCTACAGACAGAAAAAGTTCCACCTATTTAGGGCATTTGGAAAAGTATGTAGATTCATGTGTAAGGTACATATATATGTAACATATATCTCGGCATAACTAAAAACCCTTACATTATAACATATAATACTCAAAATAACAATAGTGGGAATACTTGAAACGGTTTTGTAACATAAGATGTTCTAATAAATAACGGGTCTATGGAAATTCTGTCAACGGTAATAGAACTATAATATTAACATCCTAATAGAACAGGGCAACAACACAGAAATCCTTTCTCATAACCATACGTTTGTTATTAAACCATGGATTGATTTTTAGGATTTTCTCTCAAGGATGGCATCAAAACTGTCTACTGAAAATGATAAGCAAATCCTTTTTAACCAACAAGATATACTATATGCAAAGAAATGGATAACAGAGAAATTTAGAAATTAACCTCAAAAATTAACCACCTGAAAAGGTCCTGCTCTCTGAAACATGATTTTATCATTTAAACATGAATTCTGTTATTTGCACAGTTTCTTGACAACTTGCAAAAGGCTCCAGAAAAAAAAACTCCAAGAATCATCCCTATCAATCTGCAATATACATAATGAACTCAATCTTAAGACAACTTGCCTAGACCTTCAATGAAAACTTGCGACGTTCGGCGATATTTCTAACCTTCTTCTTGAAAACTGTAAGAATCGAGGGAAAATCGCACGATCGTGGGATAGAATGTACCGAGCGTACAAGGAGGTTCGTGCGAAATAATGGCAGCCCTTCCAGAGGGGCGATCCGTTAGGCACGATCCAGGTCCGAACAGCGCGGTTCGGACGACTTCGACAGGTCCGAATTTCCTAGGAAACGCTTGGACATTTTTAGTCGATAAAGTAGGCACTCTCCGAAGCCGTGAATCAGCGTGGAGAGATCCGCCAAGGGAAGTTGCGACCATATGATCGGCATCTCATTAAAAACCAGTCCTTGATAACCGCCCTAAAGAGTTGGCAGGAGACCGAAGGAGGAGGTCGGTAACGTTGACGGAATTCCCAGGGTACCTGGTAATTTCGTCCGCGAAAAATAAAATAACGCTCGATCTTGAAAAACCCGTGGCGCACCCCGCGTTCCGATCAAGGAGACGTACACAACCCCCACACCCAATCAATCGCAGGCAGACGGATCGCGAGAGACAGGGAGGGAATTCGAGGTCCTGGCGGCGTCGACGATTCCTCGAAAAAAAGGACTTGGTCGACGAGCCGAGGCCCCGATCTTTGGAGACGTACCTTAGAGTCCCGTCCAGGGAATCACGCCCGATTGTTATCCCTCATCTTCCGAGTCGTCAGCCATTCACGACTATGGGGCCCCGCCACGGCTACCGAGACACTCGCGCGCGGCAAAGTCTAGCTCTTTGGCCTCGAACACCGGTCTACTCGGCACGGTTCACGGGTCCCGGTCGCCGCCGCCGAACGGTCACCCATCAAGCGCCGTCCAGGTTGGCACGAGCACTCAGATTCGCACTCTTCTCATCGAGAATCGGCGCATCTTCATTGTGTCTCTTGCAAATTCGAATGGGCTGCGTCCGCCATCTTCGAGGAAACACTTGCTGGACACTACGCGAGTCGAGCGAGCTGTCCCGTAGTGCGACCGTCGGCCGCTGGCCGCGCTCAGGAACGGCAGAGCTCAAAATGGCGCCCGGAGTTCTCCGGAGCCTCGGCTGCCCGGGGCGAACCGAGTCTCCAGGGAGAAACGCCAGACTCGATGAGACGACGAGGAATCGATATTCCCTAATTGACGGATTTGCGTTAATACGCCGAACTAATGGTACGCGTAATATGTGTAGTAGGAAGGTATTTAGGGCTCCCAATCGTTGTAACCTTCTTTCTTATATTTAACTGAATATTTACCAACACCCCTCTATACTGAACACTCTCTGAGAAGGACTGGGAATTGAATATGCATGAGATTTTTAACGTGTTTATTTTCGTATCGAAAGTAACTTAAAATTCGCTTGATCAAAAGTTATTCTTTTCGCGATATAAAGAATTTTTGTTAAATATGAAGGTATGAACGACTCGTTGATGCAGTATTCAAATTATAAATGCAAACATAATTAACATGAACAGGGTTTCTCAAATAAAGAATACGAACCTGGTCATCTCCCGCCCACCCCCTTCCACAACGAAAAACCAACATAAACAATTGGTAATATGTCGATCTGAAAACTGAAAGTTATCACATATTTAAGTAGTTGTGGAAAAAAGAATTATGTAAAAATATTAGCTTAAATGGTGTTAATATCTCTTTAATAAGTTATTCAATGATTGACGCAGTACATCTTCCGCGGCACGGTATACTCTTCGGTGTTAAACAGTTTGGACTTCTATTTTGTTTACCTTCCGAAGACCCTTTGCATGGACTTTTAAACCTATAAATTATATCGTCCATCTCTGACTTCTACACCACATAAATTTATGACGATCACTTGAAATTGTATTGTTCACCGGACATTACCCTGAATTTAGGACGAGGCCCCTTTCGGCGAAAGCGATTGTGTCCCTTCGGGAGGGAACGGCTTCTTGTTCTTTCTCTTTTTGTTTTTTCTTTTTCTTTTTATGAATAGCGAATCTATGCTAATCCATCCGCCATCAGCTTCCTCCCACTAGTGTACATGAACGTCTCCGATCGGTTCACAGTCTAGTAGTATGAGAGATTATTGATGAGGGTGGGATTAACTTGATTTACTTGTATAAAGTATAAATTGAAATAAATGGATGCCGACGGTTGAAAGCGTTTAAATGATAGATATTTAATTTCTAGACATTTAAACTTTATTGCGTTTTCGCGTAATTTATTTCAATCATTTTGTAAACTAAGTACATCACAGTACTAGTTTCGATCAATGAAATGACCGAATCGAAGGCGTGTTATGCACGAACAAAATTAGAAATATAAATTACGCCTGATCATGTTATACAACAGATGCTTTCACAACCCTAAATACTACATTTTCATAAATGTAAAAATCAAGAATGCATGAAAATAGGGTTCTGTATTGAAATGATTCACATATGTACGCCTGCACCCTCAAATGCGCTCGTAAATATGAAAGTGATTTAAGCTAAAAACAAAAAAGTTAATTTATCCCATATTTTGTGTCACATGTATTTAAATTAGAATAATGCGAGGGTTGCTTTTTAATAAATAAAAAAAATTATACCCCATTTTTATAATTACGAGCATATTAACGTGTGATATACTTTGATAATATAGTTTAACTATTTCATCAATTGTCTGATATTTTTGTATTTTTATGATAATAAGTTATAAATTTCACTGACAATGAAAAACAGTACATCGAGAAGACACGTTTTTATCATATAATCCTTATATCACGGAATCAATGGTTCATTTGCAAATTAAACACTACTTGAATAATACCTCTAAGTTTACCGGAAGGTACCACATTAGTAGTTGTATTCGCAATTATTATTCTTAACAAATGAAAATGTGGGCAAGCCGCATACATCGTCGAACAATATGGATTTTAACTAGGAAATTCGATCTCCAAAATTATTCTATTCATCATTCATTTGTTGAATTCATTGTTCATGTATCTAAATATGAAGAGTGAATAGGAGGAGACAGGGTTGACATAAAAAATACATACTTTATTACAATTTACAAAATCGAATACAGTCAGTTCTGCAAGTATTCTTACAGTAAATAAGCAAACACGTAAAACGTATATTTTTAGAGTTCGGCTTGATATTGATTTGGTTGTTACCAATTCTCCTAGTATGAAAGTGAAGTTAATTTTCATAACATGTGCGACAAGTAGTGAGTTCAATATACTTCAATTTACACCCATGTAATCTATACATTGAAGTAAAAGAAATAATTACATTACAAAGTATTGATGGTTTTATTATGGCAGCTTTGAAAACAAAAGATACATTATTTGCAAGAAGGCGGTAAGATTTACAATCAAATTGATTCGCCATAGGTATCATGCCTTATTTTAAGGATTACATTCATCTGTAAATACATAAACAAATCAATGTAAATACACTTCGCAATCTCTCCATTTCGATTTAAATTATTCACCGTATTTGTTAATTACTGGCTACCATCTGTGCATGAAAAATTTGTAATTTCGTTTATAGGTCCAATGTCTTGTGAAATTTCAAAGATATAATGTGTAGGTATCAACATAAACATTCAATCCGTAATCACAAGGATTTAAAGAAAAAAGAATATGCAGAATTGAATACCTCACTGTAACATTGCGTCGAGCTCATCTTAAGTGAAATAATACATTTCTACAACGTATAGTACTAACAATAAATAACGATTAACTCGTAAATCGCCCAACGTGAAGTATTCAATCCAACCACTTATGAAATTCATATTTCGATTTTATCACACAGCCAGACTACATTTTAAAACATTTTCTTTTTGACCGCCGTGTATCTCTCCATATATTGTTCGTACCCTTCGAGTTCGACGAATTGCTTCATTTCGAACAAGTTACCCTCTAATATTAAAACAGAGATTTTTGAGTCTTTTAGAATCTTTACTGGAATAGCATTAATTTGAAGGCAATTTTCTTCGAGCCTAAGGGTCTTAAGTTTTGGACAGTCGGCCAGTTGATCTGACATGGTCGAGATTTGATTCTGATTAAGATTCAACTCGGCCACGCAAAGTGAGGAAACCCCGTGAGGAATCGCAGATAACTTGTTTCTCGAAAGGTCTAGGACGTCTAGGTGTTTCAAGTTACAGAACATTAAAGGGAATTCGCTAATTTGATTATCAGATAAATTCACTTGCTTAAGATGCGCCAGTTTGGACAGGGTGGATGGCAAAGTTGTTATATGATTAGAGCTCGCATTTAGCGTTTCGAGTTTAGCTAAATTTCCCAGCGCATCTGGCAAAGAAGATATCTTATTCTGACTTATATTTAAGTGTTTCAGGAGAGTGAAATCGCCGACATCGTTCGGTAATTTTGTAAACTTGTTCTCAGAGAAGTCCAATGTGCGTAGAAGAGGCGCTAGGACACGGATGTTCGGTGGAAACTCATCTAGTTTCCTTTGGGATAGGTTTAACACACCGGTCTTCTTCGCCGTCTCGTAGTGTTGCTTCAGACCAGAATTCCCCATCGTAAGCAAATCCTTTCTAGGCTTTCTCGTTCGTTTCAAACTAATTAAATTGATTTCTCAATCTGCGTTTTGAGATAGTAGAACCTCTCTGATTATTTCATGAAACGCCGGCATTTTCTGTAATAAAGCATTCGTTACGGAATTTAACAAATTTTTTTAGTTCGAGCTAGTTCCTCTTATTAAAAAAAAACAATATTTTCATCATTGGAAATGTTTGAAATATTATGAACATCCGTAAATCGATCTTATCTGCTAGAATAGTGTTTACTTGTAGATAAATAAAATATAATCGTGTTTAGTTCTTTGATATTTTTAAACATTATTGAAATTACAAATGAATTTGTAAAAACTTCTAACAGTCTAATTTATTACTTTTCGTTCTAGTATTGATACAATACTTAATACTACTCTTAATACTACTCTTAAGCAGTTTTTTTTTATTTCATTTCTTCTGAGGAGTATTTGAATGAATATATTAAGTATATACTTCTGAAGAGGACCCGCGCGAAGGACCGAAACGTAAATTCAGAGTAACTTCAAAGAAATAAATAAACCTGCTAGTCGAGAGACAAAAACAAGATTTGGATCGATATGTAACAAATTTTCAGAATGAAGATTTTTCCTCATTGATTATGCGAGGTAATAACTATTTCCGATTTACATATATCCTGGTCATTCAAATTTCCTATTGTAATTAACTTGTAAAATCTTTACAAAAGTGGTTCTATTTTCTTCTGATCACAAGTTACAGTACATGAAAAAAGAAATGTAAATTGTTCCTAGCTCCAATATAATCATTCAACATAAAATGAATGGCCCAACTTACCTTAAATTCTTTTTAAATAAACAGGTACATTCAGGGTTTTCCCCTCTCTTAGCAGTAAACAAGTACAGTTACATTAATGTCTAAATTGACACCAAGGCCGGTGATTCAATTGTTTCGAGCTCACCGACGTTATTAGGTGAAATTCTCTTTTATCATCTGCTCAGATAACCGTGCCCAAAGCAACGAGGGGGGATGGCTGGCATGAGACTAGAAAAGTTCCCCGGCACTAAAAGAAGTACCGTCAATTATCGCGTATCCTTGAGCCAAGTACTCTCCAAAGAACTCAAGCTAAGAAGCGTTGGTGCGGTCGAGTGGTGAGTTTCGTGTTGTCGAGTCGGACTGTACGCGCGGCGCGTTGTCACCGAAACTTTTGGGGCTCAGTGTACTGGCGCGCATCGGTCGTCGGCTCGCGCCGTCACTTGGAGATTCACTTCGAGCTCTGTCCCAGGCAATATCACGGATCCTTGCTAGCGACGTACTCCAGTGAACCACTCGTAGAGACAGCGAGACACTTGGTGAATTCGAGTTCAATGAGAGGGTCCTCCGGTTTCGGTACGAGTCGTTCGCGAGGCGAGGAAATGTCACGGGAATGACACGGCGTCCGCCATTAGCCGCGCGGCGGTTCGGGCATTCGCCGCAAGATGGCGGCGCGCGGAGCAGCCACTCGAGCGAAGATGGTTGACAAACGAAAATGTAGCGGTGCACCACATCGGGTTTACATTAGATTTAAATCGCGACTGGACGGTACCTCGAGCGGCGGTTGCTCGTCAAAATGGTGAGATAGTGACCAAGAGTGACCATCAGCCCAGATACGACGGCCATGGCGGCGACACCCAAATCGGAGAAGTGCCATGGGGGTGAGTGCGACGCCTCGTATACACGTAGGGTTACCCCGCTCTTACGGGCACCACCGAAACCGTCGCGCCTTTCGGAGCCGACGCGTGCTCCTTCGCGCCGACAGCTCCCGCTTCGTTCGCATTTTTTATCCCCGAAAATATTCCCGTCCACTCCGACATTTATTACCGCTTGGCGTGGTATTCTTAGACCTTTTTACCCGGGTGGCGTCTCGTAAGGCGTCTTCGCGGGAGCGCCCGGATACCGTACCGGACGCGAAACGTCAAAAACTATGCGGAGCCGCCTGCAATTACGAGGCCCTCCTTCGAGACTTATTCTTCGCGCCGAAATCGCCAAGGGACACGCGCGATTTAACATCGATTTTGAACCCAACCTAGACAGGGTGTGGAGCTCGAGATCCTGTCACGATGCCCCGCAATACGCGGGTGTAACCAGACTTGAGGGGAACCCGTTATGGGGATGCGAATACAAACCTGTTTTGGGGTCCCGTTTGGGAATATTTAGAAATCCAGATACTTATTAATGATCGATATCACGGACTGGAAATTTATAGTCCTCTGCTAAGTTTTCCCTCTCGAGTAATTTCACGGATAACAAAGTGAAGATAATGATGCAGAATTAGCACTGTCTGAACCAGACGAGATTCTTGGCTATTGGCATGTTTCATTGTCTTCCCGTTCATGTCTGTCCTCGTACATTGTTATCCCTTATCTCTCCGCCCATAACTATAAATCATGCCCCGTGGAGGCTAGTCGTTCCGATAAGTTCAAATATTGAAGATTTAAACTCTTACGACAAGGCATTAGTTTTTATCAGAACGTTAAAATAGATACATTGCGGTATTTAATAGACAACACGTGTTATCAGGTATTCAAAAAAGTTTGCGCAGTTTTCTGTAGAGTGCGCTGCAAGAAAAAACCACACGACCTATTTCATTATTTAATACGTGTATATTGACCTTACAATATTTGATGATTTACTTAATGTAACTTTAACGCTTGAACTAAATGCGTTGTTTACAGAGGCGATTGGTGTCGTGGCGAGCTTCGTGCATTAAAAATGAAAATATGCCTCGTGTAATAACGTCCTTCCGCGAGCGATCTTCAACGACTGGCTGGCACTTGTAATCTCAATAGCGATGTTATCGCACGATACTTATATTTTCCCTTCTCCGAAAGGTTTTAGTGATCGCGTATCTTTCGCACATTTGCCGTCGACTTAACGTCGCAACGCTAACCTCGTGTTTCGTACGTGACAATAAGTCGCGCGTGCACACTCCGGGGCGTGTGAATGTGCGTCTCGCAGCTGCACGGGTCACGAGTTTTACTTCCACGATTCGTACTCTCTGACAAAACGTTTCGTTTCTACCTCTCCCCGTGTTCGATTGTTCCGCGTCACCTTTTTTCATCGGCAATTTGTCATCGGCTATTTTCGCGTTAAGTCTGATAAATGATCTATGGAAATTGTTCAGTAAAACGAGCAGGGTGCAGTTGAGTTTCGATATCTGAATTGAAGAATGGAGTACGAAAGAAATTCCTGGGAAAAGTACAGTGCAAGTTTCGCGCTTGATGTGTACCTTGCTGCTAATCGGATTTTGAGGTACAGATCGAAGAACGGAAGGAAAATGAAGTATCTCGTTCCACGTAAGTTTCTTTCTATTTCTACGATGCCAAAGGCCTTTGTATGAAGAACGTGTTCGGAGAGTCAGTGAAATCACGGGAATTAGCATGGACGATTTTGTACGTGACGGTAGAAGCATTGAATGCCGGAGAGGCGAATGTGAAAGGTGCATATAGATGGAAGTTTTCCACTCGCAATTCTCACCCTACGATGAAACGTGTTTAGTTTCCGCTATCGTTCCTTTTTATAGTCCCTTTTCCTTTCTTTATATCGCTGGGCAGTAAAAGGTTGGCAAATTGCTGAGACTATGTGAATGATTTTTCACGTATGTATACGAGTATCCAATGTCATAAATTTCCCGGGTCGCGGTATGATGTTCAATCATACGTGTAGATCTTTCAATAGCAATCACATGCATATATGCATTCGTGCCTTCCCATACAGAGTTCTATAAAAATGAAAGATGAAATTTCAAACTAACATAACCGGGAAGATTATTATACTATCGATGACTTATCATATCCGATTTGAAATAGGGAAGGGATGGACGTTAAACAATGCATACAAATGAGTAACAATTTTTCTGGGTCTTGCATTATACGACGGTATATTTAGTTTCTCATGCCTCTAGTCTCAATTTCGAAATGTCTTTTGAAAAAGAGGGTCGCTGGTACTAAGTATAATTTTTTAATTTCTATATATAATGATAATTGCGATCTTTCGTAATCAAAGTAATAGACTAGCATGATTCCGAGAATTTCTATTCACCAATCAACATTCTTTCCTAACTCAGCCTGTTGCGCTCTTTAAGTCGACCCGCTCTTCAGTTTTATTCTTTACAATTTGGTACGGTCACGTGAATTACAGGCACATGAAAGTTTTTACTCCGCCGTGTACGAATGTTTCGTAGAGCTCCATTACCGTCACGTTAGCGACCCAGTTTCAATGCTTTTTGGACCCAGCGGACCTTTAATAATTAAGTTTCTTCCATACATTTCCTGTTATGAAAAACGTACTTCTGAATGAAAGGCGAAAACGAAAAGAAGGTATTTCGGCTTTGGGTACCTACCGTCGAAGCACCGAATCTTGTAAAAGAATAGAAGAATGGATGGACGGGTGAATAACAGATGCAGTTTGCCGCGTTTTCAATGGGAAAGAGAAAAAAGAATATTGGAGCGCGACACGCTCGAAAGAGGACCGCGCGGCCTATGAAGATGGATTGAAATAAAAGCGGCGGTTCGATCAATTTGTCCGGGTAGCTCAGCACCAACTGGTACCCCGCATCATCCGTTCTGGGTAATTGCGTTTAATTCAAGTTGATTTGTCGGCGGCTGAAATCATGGTGCACGCTTCCATTGTGTGCACGCGTCACATCGAATAAGCGTCGACTTGTTTTGTAACTTTCGGATTTCGGAAAAATCTTCTTTTTTTCAAATAAAGGCGACTACCTCGTTCAGAGGCGCTCTCGCAACGGATGTAACGTGTTACTGGGTGTTAGTGTTATTTTTAATTAATGAAAGTTCGAGTATTTATGATGAACAAATTTAAATAAGAAACTTTAACCGATTGGGGCATGAAGTCACACCTTAGCTATTTTTAATGTCTTTTATTTTTCCTTATAAATATTGAAAAATAATTGCAATCGATTTTAATGCGAATTCCTACTAAAAAAGTATTTTTAAAAACGAAAATTGCCTCTAGTACGAAAAGGGCACCGGCCTATCTGACCTGGTATTAATGTGAACTGTATTTGTTAAATTTGAAAAAATATATATTAATTTTAAATATATTCCATTGCGAAATTTACATCTCGTCTTAAACATGAATTTGCAGTCTTGTTTCATCATGAAAGGCACAAGAAGGTGAAACAGTAAGAACTCTTGTTAAACCGCATATTAATTTGTCTCGGTTGGAGTCGTCTGATCTTGTAATCGTGGCAACGTGCACACTTGAACTGAAAGAACCGGAAAACTAATTGTGCCCCGACACATTATGGAAATACTTAGATCCATTAAATATGCATTCCCCTCACTGTGATGACTAATAGGAGCATAAATGTCAGAGAAAAGGTGTATCTTAATTAAAACCGTGCAGCAGTCCGTAGGATGAAAATCGACGCAGCTTTTCTACAAACATAGAAACTTCTACAAAGAGAAAGCATCCTCGTAATTTCAGTAAAATACATTATCCTCGAAGATTTCACGAGTACAATTCATTATGGGCAGCAATTACAAATACTTGTTCCGTGTACTCAAGAAAATCCTCTAGGTCTAAATCATCGTTACTTCAATGGTTAAATCCAATATTACCCTGCAACATATGTACGTGCCAATAAATATGAAAGTGGCTTAAGTCATATTTTTGTTAAAAAAAAAAACTAACTTCACATTATTGAATTTTAATTGAATACCAACACAAAATATTGGATAAATTAATTGCATTTAGATTTTTCACGTAGACCACTTTCATAATTACGGACACATAACGATGCTATTCCCCATAAGATAAGCATCTGTTTCCACAATTGTTTCAGTTCATTAACAGGATAGAGTCGTTTCCAGACAATGGTGCGATTCGCGTAACGTTTTCACCCTATTTGACGTTATCATTTGGTATATACGTACCGTCTCCCCTCGTGTTTGTAGCGGGACGGCACAGCTAATCAAAGCTAAAGCCTATTCGGAAACGTAGGGACCAAATCGGCGACAGAATCGAGAAATCTCGTTTCCCAGCCTAGGGGTCATGTATATGATCATCTATATGGTCACTGAATTTCCAGAACGACGTCTCACCGTACAAAGCCGTTTGTTTTTCTTTCGCAGTGTCGCGGCAAAACTCGTGGCGCGTTCGCCATCGCGTTTCACGGGAACATGGTCAATAATTTTTCTCGAGGTGTTTGCGAAGGCTCACCCTGCCCTCGTACACGGCACAGTACAGAGGCCTTTCAAAAGCGAACTCATTAAATAATCCCAGGGTGCCCTGGTTGACGGGGTCGACGATGGTTAGTTTGGTACGTCCACATGTGACCTACGCAAAGGTCGCATACGAGTCTTCAAAAGGGATCTCCCATAAGAGAAGAAAAGCGACAGCTTCCCGGCGAACGGAGGAAGAGGGAGGGTTGCCCAAAAAGGAAGCGATAA